CCCTATATAGTGCACTACTTTAGACCAGAGAATGGCACCCTGTTCCCTAAATAGTGCACTACTTTTGACTAGAGTCCAATGGCACCCTATTCCCTATATAGTGCACTACTTTTGACTAGAGTCCAATGGCACCCTGTTCCCTATATAGTGCACTACTTTAGACCAGAGAATGGCACCCTGTTCCCTAAATAGTGCACTACTTTTGACTAGAGTCCAATGGCACCCTATTCCCTATATAGTGCACTATTTTTAACGAGAGTCCACAGCGCTGTAAATAAAGAATAGGGTGCTGTTTGTTGGCCACAGCACATGACTTCATTCCCCAATGTGAAGGCTCTAATCCAGGGCTCTCCAACCCTGTTCCTGGAGAGATACCCTCCTGGAGGTTTAACTCCAACCCTGTTCCTGGAGAGATACCCTCCTGGAGGTTTTAACCTCCAACCCTGTTCCTGGAGAGATACCCTCCTGTAGGTTTAAACCTCAACCCTGTTCCTGGAGAGATACCCTCCTGGAGGTTTTAACTCCAACCCTGTTCCTGGAGAGATGCCCTCCTGTAGGTTTTAACCTCCAACCCTGTTCCTGGAGAGATACCCTCCTGTAGGTTTTAACCTCAACCCTGTTCCTGGAGAGATACCCTCCTGTAGGTTTTCACTCCAACCCCAGTGGTAGGCTAAATAACCTGATTCAACCAGCTAATTATTAGAATCAGGTGCGGCTAGATTAGGGTTGGAGTGAAAACCTACAGGACGGTAGCTCTCCAGAAACAGGGTTGGAGAGCCCTGGAAAATGAGTCTGTTTACATCATTGCCACCTCTGTGGGTAGCCCGTAGCAAGCGTATTGTTTGCTGCTGTGGTTTGTTGGACTGAGCTGCCGTCAGTGTTATTCTGAGTTCACTGTTTATGTATTTCATGTTTATAGAAGTTGTTCATGCTGAAGAATTCTCCTGCTCTGTTTATTTAAACCCTGCGACACTGTACTCCCACTACGTCCCAAATACCACCCTATTCCCTATATAGTGCACTACTTTTGACCAGGGCCTGTCACAGGTTAGGTATTCAGAAGACTGAGGTGGGTTTTCCTCTAACTTTTTTACCTGGGCTTTGCTCCTTTCATATTTATTCTGATCCTGACAAACTCCCCAGTCCCTGCCGATGACAAGCATACCCATAACATGATGCTGCCACCACAATACTTGAAAATACAGAGGGTTTCACTCTGTGTTGTATTGGATTTGACCCAAGCCTGTAGCCAAAAATGTAACATACTTGTCGTGTTGTCTTGCAGTATTTCTTACTGGCCTTGTTGCAAACAGAATGGATGATTTGCAGTGGATCTTTTAGCACAGGCGTCATTCTTTTCACTTTGTCATGCAGGCCGGTAATGTGGACTGAGTACAAGGTTGTTGATCCTATGTATTTTCATAGTATTTTGGTGGCAGCTTCATGTTATGGGCACGCTTGGTTCAACATATAACACTGTCTTGCAGCTCGCAAATGAATGAGAGAGCAAAGAGGAAGAGAGAATAGGAGAGAGGACGCTGAGAGAGAGAGATGAGAGAGTATAGATAGAGATCGAAGCGTATAGAGCGAGCAGAGAGAGAGAGAGCATAGAGCGCTCGTCAGCTCTAAGAGAGAGATCTCTCTCTAGAGAGGAGCTCTCTCTCTCTGCTCTATTCGCGAGAGAGAGATCTCTCTCTAGACGAGAGAGAGACCAGCAGAGGAAGAAGTATTTGATTACATTGCCGATTTTGCAGTTTTCCTACTTACAAAGCATGCAGAGGTCTGTAATTTTTATCATAGGTACACTTCAACTGTGAGAGACGGAATCTAAAACAAAAATCCAGAAAATCACATTGTATGATTTTTTAAGTAATTAATTTGCATTGTATTAAATGACATAAGTATTTGATACATCAGAAAAGCAGAACCTAATATTTGGTACAGAAACCTTAGATAGATAGATAGATAGTTAGATAGATAGATAGATAGATAGATAGATAGATAGATAGATAGATTCTGAGATAGATAGTCTCCTGAGTGGTGCAGTGGTCTAAGGCTGTGCCACTAGAGATCCTGGTTCGAATCCAGGCTCTGTCGCAGCCGGCCGCGACCGGGAGACTCATGGGCGGCGCACAATTGGCCCAGCGTCGTCCAGGGTAGGGGAGGGAATGGCCGGCAGGGATGTAGCTCAGTTGATAGAGCATGGCGTTTGCAACGCCAGGGTTGTGGGTTCGATTCCCACGGGGGGCCAGTATAAAAAAAATATGTATTCACTAACTGTAAGTCGCTCTGGATAAGAGTGTCTGCTAAATGACTAAAATGTAATAGATAGATAGATAGATAGATAGATAGATAGATAGATAGATAGATAGATAGATAGATATCAGTGTGTGTTTGGTGTATGTGTAAGTGGTGGTACACAAGTCTGGTTCATCCTTGGGAGCAATTTCCAAACGCCTGAAGGTACCACGTTCATCTGTACAAACAATAGTACGAAGTATAAACACCATGGGACCACGCAGCCGTCATAACGCTCAGGAAGGAGATGCATTCTGTCTCCTAGAGATGAACGTACTTTGGTGCGGAAAGTGCAAATCAATCCCAGAACAACAGCAAAGGACCTTGTGAAGATGCTGGAGGAAACAGGTACAAAAGTATCTATATCCACAGTAAAACTAGTCCTATATCGACATAACCTGAAAGGCCGCTCAGCATGGAAGAAGCCACTGCTCCAAAACCGCCATAAAAAAGCCAGACTACGGTTTGCAACTGCACATGGGGACAAAGATCATACTTTTTGGAGAAATGTACTTTGGTCTGATGAAACAAAAATAGAACTGTTTGGCCATAATGACCATCGTTATGTTTGGAGGAAAAAGGGGGATGCTTGCAAAGCGAAGAACACCATCCCAACCGTGAAGCATGGGGGTGGCAGCATCATGCTGTGGGGGTGCTTTGCTTCAGGAGGGACTGGTGCACTTCACAAAATAGATGGCATCATGAGGAAGGAAAATTATGTGGATATATTGATGCAACATCTCAAGACATCAGTCAGGAAGTTAAAGTTTGGTCGCAAATGGGTCTTCCAAATGGACAATGACCCCAAGCATACTTCCAAAGTTGTGGCAAAATGGCTTAAGGACAACAAAGTCAAGGTATTGGAGTGGCCATCACAAAGCCCTGACCTCAATCCTATAGAGCATTTGTGGGCAGAACTGAAAAAGCATGTGCGAGCAAGGAGGCCTACAAACCTGACTCAGTTACACCAGCTCTGTCAGGAGGAATGGGCCAACATTCACCCAACTTATTGTGAGAAGCTTATGGAAGGCTACCCAAAATGTTTGACCCAAGTTAAACAATTTAAAGGTCCTCTGTAGCTCAGCATGGTAGAGCACGGCGCTTGTAACGCCCAGGGTAGTGGGTTCGATCCCCGGGACCACCCATATGTAAAAATGTATGCGCACATGACTGTAAGTCGCTTTGGATAAAAGCGTCTGCTAAATGGCATATTATTATTATTATTATTATTATTATTATTATTATTATTATTATTATTATATTATTATTATCTGTAAAGTATAGAACCAGTTAAACTGACTGGTGAGTCGTTGGATGCGTCTCAAATGGCACCCTATAACTTATAAAGTGCACTACTTTTTACCAGAGCGTTATATAGGGAATAGGGTGCCATTTGGGATGCAGACATTGTTGTGTCTTTAGCTTTTTTATTACCCATGACCTCTCTACACTGTTGACGTACAGTATAGGACAGGACGTGACCCTTTAGGACATGTACTGATCAGCGCATTAGACATGTCCCAGACAACATATGGCATAAGGCCAATCCGTTCCTAGGGTGACATATGGGACTCATTTCTGTGTTTCTCCCCTTTCGCTCCTATATGACATGAAACTAATGTAATGATTGTTGTTGTGTCCCAGAAAACATAGGGCCAATCTCTGGCTGAGCTGACTAACATGGCTCCACAGATGTCTTGAAAACATAGGGCCAATCCCTGGCTGAGCTAACTAACACGGCTCCACAGATGTCTTGAAAACATAGGGCCAATCCCTGGCTGAGCTAACTAACACGGCTTCACAGATGTCTTGAAAACATAGGGCCAATCTCTGGCTGAGCTGACTGACAGGGCGAGTGTTGGAGTGTGTCCCTGGCTCTATTAATAAAAAAAAAAACAAGAAAATGGTGCCGTCTGCTTTGCTGTCACGACTTCCTCCGAGGCTGCCTCCTCTCCTGGTTCGAGGCAGGCTTCGGCGTTCGTCGTCACCGGCCTTCTAGCCACTGCCGCTCCTCATCTCATCATTCCATTTGTTTTGTCTTGTTTATTACACACACCTGGTTCATATCCCCTCACCAGTACCTGTATAAGTGTTCCCTCTGCCCCCTGGTCTTTGTGTGTGATTGTTTATTGTGGAGGAGAGAGAAGCTCGGTGGAGCTCCGTGTATTTTGTATCGCTGGGAATATTCCCCGTGTGTCTTGTATTTTCCAGTGTGCCTGTTTTGCGCACTGGAGTGTTTTTACATATTACTGCGTAACTCTGTGGTTCAGAAATAAATCCTGTTATTTACCGTCTTGCGCCTGACTCCTTCAAAACCACCTCATCACATTTGCTTAATGTAAGGAATTTGAAAATATTTATATTTTTACTTCTACTTTTGATACTTAATTATATTTTAGCAATTACGTGTACTTTTGATACTTAAGTATATTTAAAACCAAATACTTTTAGACTTTTACTCAAGTAGTATTTTACAGGGTGACTTTCACTTTTACTTGAGTAACTTTCTATTAAGGTCTCTATACTTTTACTCAAGTATGACAATTGGGTACTTTTTCCACCCCTGACTACTTGTCATTCTAACCAGGGCTGGAGAATAAAACACAAGTTGAATCAGATAAAGGACCAACAAGGAGATTTCAATGAAAGGTTTTTCTTTATTTATGTAAACCAAGGCATCTTTGAACTAAAGACTCAGAGGTTCAGAGGCCGGGACGCGTGGCACAGACAAAGGCATACTTGTTGGAGCAGAGCGTGTCGTTCCACAGCTTCTCCTTTAAGTTATTAGTGTGAACACAGTTCTCACTTCCACTTAGATTATTGGGCTCCTTTGGAGACCAGAACATGTAGACCACCTTGGAGCCGTCCGACCACATCCATCTCCCTTCCTTGTGGAGGTCACTCAGCCCGATCCAGGTATTGCTCTCAGCAGGGTCGAAGCCATGGATCAGGTTTTTCACGAAGCCGAATTCCCCTTTGCTGTTCACAGAGACCAGGTTGGCTCCCTGGTTCACGCAGTAGGACTCTGCATCGGCCCAGTCCAGCTGAGAGGCGAAGTGCTTGAAGCATCGGTTGTTGAACCCTATTTTTGACAACTTTTACTCTTAACTTCACTATATTCCTAAAGGAAATAATGTACTTTTTACTCTATACATTTTCCCTGACAACCCAAAGTACTCGTTACATTTTGAATGCTTAGCAGGACAGGAAATTGTGAAATTCATGCACTTATCACGAGACCATCCCTGGTCATCCCTACTGCCTCTGATCTGGCGGACTCACTAAACACAAATGCATCTTTTGTAAATAATGTCTGAGTGTTGGAGTATGTCCCTGGCTCTATTAATGAAAAAAAAAACAGGCTGCCTCCCCTCCTTGTTCGGGCAGGCTTCGGCGTTCGTCGTCACCGGCCTTCTAGCCACTGCCGCTCCTCATCTCATCATTCCATTTGTTTTGTCTTGTTTATTACACACACCTGGTTCATATCCCCTCATCAGTACCTGTATAAGTGTTCCCTCTGCCCCCTGGTCTTTGTGTGTGATTGTTTATTGTGGAGGAGAGAGAAGCTCGGTGGAGCTCCGTGTATTTTGTATCGCTGGGAATATTCCCCGTGTGTCTTGTATTTTCCAGTGTGCCTGTTTTGTGCACTGGAGTGTTTTTACATATTACTGCGTAACTCTGTGGTTCAGAAATAAATCCTGTTATTTACCGTCTTGCGCCTGACTCCTTCAAAACCACCTCATCACATTTGCTTAATGTAAGGAATTTGAAAATATTTATATTTTTACTTCTACTTTTGATACTTAATTATATTTTAGCAATTACGTGTACTTTTGATACTTAACTATATTTAAAACCAAATACTTTTAGACTTTTACTCAAGTAGTATTTTACAGGGTGACTTTCACTTTTACTTGAGTAACTTTCTATTAAGGTCTCTATACTTTTACTCAAGTATGACAATTGGGTACTTTTTCCACCCCTGACTACTTGTCATTCTAACCAGGGCTGGAGAATAAAACACAAGTTGAATCAGATAAAGGACCAACAAGGAGATTTCAATGAAAGGTTTTTCTTTATTTATGTAAACCAAGGCATCTTTGAACTAAAGACTCAGAGGTTCAGAGGCTGGGACGCGTGGTGCAGACAAAGGCATACTTGTTGGAGCAGAATACGTCGTTCCACAGCTTGTTTTTTAACTCGTTAGTGTGAACACAGTTCTCCCTTCCACCTCCATTATTGGGCTCATTTGGAGACCAGAACGTGTAGACCACCTTGGAGCCGTCCGACCACATCCATCTCCCTTCCTTGTGGAGGTCACTCAGCCCGATCCAGGTAAAGCTCTCAGCAGGGTCGAAGTCATGGATCAGGTTTTTCACGAAGTCGAATTCCCCTTTGCTGTTCACAGAGACCAGGTTGGCTCCCTGGGTCACGCAGTAGGACTCTGCATCGGCCCAGTCCAGCCGAGAGGCGAAGTACTTGAAGCAGCGGTTGTTGAAACTGGACCAGCCCGGGGGACAGGCGGTGTTCTGGGGCTCTGAGAGCTCCCCCTCCTGGTCAGGCACGGGAGTGCAGTGTAGAGCACCAACAGCCAGGCTGAGTAGGCAGAGGAAGCGGAGGGCAACAGGCATGGTGAAGAGGTTTCTGTTCTGGTGAAGAGTCACTGAAGTAGGCAGGAGAATGGCTCTAGGGTCCTGGGGTCTGGTCTGCAGGTCTGCTCCTGTGTGCTGGGATAGCTAGGTAGGAGGATATGTGGGCTGCAGTGGGTCCTTTTATCTCACGTTGAGAGGGTGGGGAGGAGGAGTTGGCATTGAGGCCATTGGTAGATTGTCAATTCGATATTTTCCATAAGCAGCATTTTTCCAGATAAGGTGGTACTGCGACCGTGCCACGTAACCCAGTAGTTATATAAAATCTGCAGCTGTGGTCTTCCCATATTATATTTAGTTAGGCCCCAGGGCCAGTGTTCACGAAGCGTCTCAGAGTAAAAGCACTGATCAAGGATCAAAACTCTTAGTTCAGTGGTCCTTCCTTTGGGAATACAGGCCCATATCTCAGTTACTGGAGGGCAGGGGGACATGTCAAACCAGTCCTTCCTTTGGGAATACAGGCCCATATCTCAGTTACTGGAAGATAGGGGGGACATGTCAAACCAGTCCTTCCTTTGGGAATACAGGCCCATATCTCAGTTACTGGAAGATAGGGGGGACATGTCAAACCAGTCCTTCCTTTGGGAATACAGGTCCATATCTCAGTTACTGGAGGGCAGGGGGGACATGTCAAACCAGTCCTTCCTTTGGGAATACAGGCCCATATCTCAGTTACTGGAAGATAGGGGGGACATGTCAAACCAGTCCTTCCTTTGTGAATACAGGCCCATATCTCAGTTACTGGAGGGCAGGGGGACATGTCAAACCAGTCCTTCCTTTGGGAATACAGGCCCATATCTCAGTTACTGGAAGATAGGGGGGACATGTCAAACCAGTCCTTCCTTTGGGAATACAGGCCCATATCTCAGTTACTGGAAGATAGGGGGGACATGTCAAACCAGTCCTTCCTTTGTGAATACAGGTCCATATCTCAGTTACTGGAGGGCAGGGGGGACATGTCAAACCAGTCCTTCCTTTGGGAATACAGGCCCATATCTCAGTTACTGGAAGATAGGGGGGACATGTCAAACCAGTCCTTCCTTTGGGAATACAGGCCCATATCTCAGTTACTGGAAGATAGGGGGGACATGTCAAACCAGTCCTTCCTTTGTGAATACAGGCCCATATCGCAGTTACTGGAGGGCAGGGGGACATGTCAAACCAGTCCTTCCTTTGTGAATACAGGCCCATATCTCAGTTACTGGAAGATAGGGGGGACATGTCAAACCAGTCCTTCCTTTGTGAATACAGGCCCATATCGCAGTTACTGGAGTTCAGAAATAAATCCTGTTATTTACCCTCTTGCGCCTGACTCCTTCAAAACCACCTCATCACATTTGCTTAATGTAAGGAATTTGAAAATATTTATATTTTTACTTCTACTTTTGATACTTAATTATATTTTAGCAATTACGTGTACTTTTGATACTTAAGTATATTTAAAACCAAATACTTTTAGACTTTTACTCAAGTAGTATTTTACAGGGTGACTTTCACTTTTACTTGAGTAACTTTCTATTAAGGTCTCTATACTTTTACTCAAGTATGACAATTGGGTACTTTTTCCACCACTGACTACTTGTCATTCTAACCAGGGCTGGAGAATAAAACACAAGTTGAATCAGATAAAGGACCAACAAGGAGATTTCAATGAAAGGTTTTTCTTTATTTATGTAAACCAAGGCATCTTTGAACTAAAGACTCAGAGGTTCAGAGGCCGGGACGCGTGGCGCAGACAAAAGCATACTTGTTGGAGCAGAGCGTGTCGTTCCACAGCTTCTCCTTTAAGTTATTAGTGTGAACACAGTTCTCACTTCCACTTAGATTATTGGGCTCATTTGGAGACCAGAACGTGTAGACCACCTTGGAGCCGTCCGACCACATCCATCTCCCTTCCTTGTGGAGGTCACTCAGCCCGATCCAGGTATTGCTCTCAGCAGGGTCGAAGCCATGGATCAGGTTTTTTCACGAAGCCGAATTCCCCTTTGCTGTTCACAGAGGCCAGGTTGGCTCCCTGGGTCACGCAGTAGGACTCTGCATCGGCCCAGTCCAGCTGAGAGGCGAAGTACTTGAAGCAGCGGTTGTTGAACCCTATTTTTGACAACTTTTACTTTTAACTTCACTATATTCCTAAAGGAAATAATGTACTTTTTACTCCATACATTTTCCCTGACAACCCAAAGTACTCGTTACATTTTGAATGCTTAGCAGGACAGGAAATTGTGAAATTCATGCACTTATCAAGAGATCATCCCTGGTCATCCCTACTGCCTCTGATCTGGCGGACTCACTAAACACAAATGCATCTTTTGTAAATAATGTCTGAGTGTTGGAGTGTGTCCCTGGCTCTATTAATGAAAAAAAAAACAGGCTGCCTCCTCTCCTGGTTCGAGGCAGGCTTCGGCGTTCGTCGTCACCGGCCTTCTAGCCACTGCCGCTCCTCATCTCATCATTCCATTTGTTTTGTCTTGTTTATTACACACACCTGGTTCATATCCCCTCATCAGTACCTGTATAAGTGTTCCCTCTGCCCCCTGGTCTTTGTGTGTGATTGTTTATTGTGGAGGAGAGAGAAGCTCGGTGGAGCTCCGTGTATTTTGTATCGCTGGGAATATTCCCCGTGTGTCTTGTATTTTCCAGTGTGCCTGTTTTGTGCACTGGAGTGTTTTTACATATTACTGCGTAACTCTGTGGTTCAGAAATAAATCCTGTTATTTACCGTCTTGCGCCTGACTCCTTCAAAACCACCTCATCACATTTGCTTAATGTAAGGAATTTGAAAATATTTATATTTTTACTTCTACTTTTGATACTTCATTATATTTTAGCAATTACGTGTACTTTTGATACTTAAGTATATTTAAAACCAAATACTTTTAGACTTTTACTCAAGTAGTATTTTACAGGGTGACTTTCACTTTTACTTGAGTAACTTTCTATTAAGGTCTCTATACTTTTACTCAAGTATGACAATTGGGTACTTTTTCCACCCCTGACTACTTGTCATTCTAACCAGGGCTGGAGAATAAAACACAAGTTGAATCAGATAAAGGACCAACAAGGAGATTTCAATGAAAGGTTTTTCTTTATTTATGTAAACCAAGGCATCTTTGAACTAAAGACTCAGAGGTTCAGAGGCCGGGACGCGTGGCGCAGACAAAAGCATACTTTCTGGAGCAGAATACGTCGTTCCACAGCTTCTCCTTTAAGTTATTAGTGTGAACACAGTTCTCCATTCCATCTCCATTAGTGGGCTCCTTTGGAGACCAGAACGTGTCGACCAACTTGGAGCCGTCCGACCACATCCATCTCCCTTCCTTGTGGAGGTCACTCAGCCCGATCCAGGTAAAGCTCTCAGCAGGGTCGAAGCCATGGATCAGGTTTTTCACGAAGTCGAATTCCCCTTTGCTGTTCACAGAGACCAGGTTGGCTCCCTGGTTCACGCAGTAGGACTCTGCATCGGCCCAGTCCAGCTGAGTGGCGAAGTACTTGAAGCAGCGGTTGTTGAAACTGGACCAGCCCGGGGGACAGGCGGTGTGCTGGGGCTCTGAGAGCTCCCCCTCCTGGTCAGGCACGGGAGTGCAGTGTAGAGCACCAACAGCCAGGCTGAGTAGGCAGAGGAAGCGGAGGGCAACAGGCATGGTGAAGAGGTTTCTGTTCTGGTGAAGAGTCACTGAAGTAGGCAGGAGAATGGCTCTAGGGTCCTGGGGTCTGGTCTGCAGGTCTGCTCCTGTGTGCTGGGATAGCTAGGTAGGAGGATATGTGGGCTGCAGTGGGTCCTTTTATCTCACGTTGAGAGGGTGGGGAGGAGGAGTTGGCATTGAGGCCATTGGTAGATTGTCAATTCGATATTTTCCATAAGCAGCATTTTTCCAGATAAGGTGGTACTGCGACCGTGCCACGTAACCCAGTAGTTATATAAAATCTGCAGCTGTGGTCTTCCCATATTATCTTTAGTTAGGCCCCAGGGCCAGTGTTCACGAAGCGTCTCAGAGTAAAAGCACTGATCAAGGATCAAAACTCTTAGTTCAGTAGTCCTTCCTTTGGGAATACAGGCCCATATCGCAGTTACTGGAAGATAGGGGGGACATGTCAAACCAGTCCTTCCTTTGTGAATACAGGCCCATATCTCAGTTACTGGAGGGCAGGGGGACATGTCAAACCAGTCCTTCCTTTGTGAATACAGGCCCATATCGCAGTTACTGGAGGGCAGGGGGGACATGTCAAACCAGTCCTTCCTTTGGGAATACAGGCCCATATCTCAGTTACTGGAAGATAGGGGGGACATGTCAAACCAGTCCTTCCTTTGGGAATACAGGCCCATATCTCAGTTACTGGAAGATAGGGGGGACATGTCAAACCAGTCCTTCCTTTGTGAATACAGGCCCATATCTCAGTTACTGGAAGATAGGGGGGACATGTCAAACCAGTCCTTCCTTTGGGAATACAGGCCCATATCGCAGTTACTGGAGGGCAGGGGGACATGTCAAACCAGTCCTTCCTTTGGGAATACAGGTCCATATCTCAGTTACTGGAAGATAGGGGGGACATGTCAAACCAGTCCTTCCTTTGGGAATACAGGCCCATATCTCAGTTACTGGAGGGCAGGGGGACATGTCAAACCAGTCCTTCCTTTGGGAATACAGGCCCATATCGCAGTTACTGGAGGGCAGGGGGACATGTCAAACCAGTCCTTCCTTTGTGAATACAGGCCCATATCTCAGTTACTGGAAGATAGGGGGGACATGTCAAACCAGTCCTTCCTTTGGGAATACAGGCCCATATCTCAGTTACTGGAGGGCAGGGGGACATGTCAAACCAGTCCTTCCTTTGGGAATACAGGCCCATATCTCAGTTACTGGAGGGCAGGGGGACATGTCAAACCAGTCCTTCCTTTGTGAATACAGGCCCATATCTCAGTTACTGGAAGATAGGGGGGACATGTCAAACCAGTCCTTCCTTTGGGAATACAGGCCCATATCTCAGTTACTGGAGGGCAGGGGGACATGTCAAACCAGTCCTTCCTTTGGGAATACAGGTCCATATCTCAGTTACTGGAAGATAGGGGGGACATGTCAAACAGTCCTTCCTTTGTGAATACAGTCCATATCGCGTTACTGAAAATTAGGGGGACATTCAACAGTCCTCCTTTGGGATACAGCCATATCTCAGTTACTAAGAGGGGACAGTCAAACCAGTCCTCCTTTGGGAATTACTCCAACTCAGTTATGGAAAGGGGGACATGTCAAACCAGTACTTTTGGGAATTACAGGCCATATCTCAGTACTGGAGGGCAGGGGGACATTTGTCAAACAGTCCTCCTTGGGAATACAGGTCCATATCTCAGTTAGGAGATGGGGGACATGTAAACCAGTCCTTCCTTAGTGAATACAGGGCCATATTCAGTTACTGGAAAAGGTTTGGGTACATGTCAAACCAGTCTTCTTTGGAATAAGGTCCATATCTCAGTAGGTGGAGGGCAGGAGGGGACATGTCAAAACAGTCTTCCTTTGTGAATACAGGCCCAAGCTCCCAGTTACGTGGAGTGGAGGGGACATGTCAAACCAGTCCTTCCTTTGGAATACAGGAATCAGTACTTCAGAATACAGGCCCATATCGCAGTACTGGAGGGCAGGGGACATGTCAAACCAGTCTCCTTGGGAATACAGGTCCATATCTCAGAGGAGGGCAGGGGGCCATGTCAAACCAGTCCTTCCTTTGGAATACAGGCCCATATCTCAGTTATGGAGGGCAGGGGGACATGTCAAACCAGTCCTTCTTGGGAATACAGCCCATATCTCAGTTACTGGATAGGGGGAATGTCAAACCAGTCCTTCTTTGGGAATACAGGCCCATATCTCAGTTACTGGAGGGAAGGGGACATGTCAAACCAGTCCCCTTTGGGAATAATAGTTACTGGAAGAAGGGGGACATGTCAAACAGTCTTCCTTTGTGAATACAGGCCTATCGCAGTTACTGGAGTTCAGAAATAAATCGGCTGTTATTGACCCCTCTTGCGCCTGACTCCTTCAAAACCACCTCCAATCACATTGCTTAATGTAAGGAATTTGAAAATATTTATATTTTTACTTCTACTTTTGATACTTAATTATATTTTAGCAATTACGTGTACTTTTGATACTTAAGTATATTTAAAACCAAATACTTTTAGACTTTTACTCAAGTAGTATTTTACAGGGTGACTTTCACTTTTACTTGAGTAACTTTCTATTAAGGTCTCTTTTACTTTTACTCAAGTATGACAATTGGGTACTTTTTCCACCACTGACTACTTGTCATTCTAACCAGGGCTGGAGAATAAAACACAAGTTGAATCAGATAAAGGACCAACAAGGAGATTTCAATGAAAGGTTTTTCTTTATTTATGTAAACCAAGGCATCTTTGAACTAAAGACTCAGAGGTTCAGAGGCCGGGACGCGTGGCGCAGACAAAAGCATACTTGTTGGAGCAGAATATGTCGTTCCACAGCTTGTCCTTTACGTTATTAGTGTGAACACAGTTCTCCCTTCCTTCTTCATTATTGGGCTCATTTGGAGACCAGAACGTGTCGACCAACTTGGAGCCGTCCGACCACATCCATCTCCCTTCCTTGTGGATGTCACTCAGCCCGATCCAGGTATAGCGCTCAGCAGGGTCCAAGTCATGGATCAGGTTTTTCACGAAGCCGAATTCCCCTTTGCTGTTCACAGAGACCAGGTTGGCTCCCTGGTTCACGCAGTAGGACTCTGCATCGGCCCAGTCCAGCTGAGTGGCGAAGTACTTGAAGCAGCGGTTGTTGAAACTGGACCAGCCCGGGGGACAGGCGGTGTGCTGGGGCTCTGAGAGCTCCCCCTCCTGGTCAGGCACGGGAGTGCAGTGTAGAGCACCAACAGCCAGGCTGAGTAGGCAGAGGAAGCGGAGGGCAACAGGCATGGTGAAGAGGTTTTTTGTTCTGGTGAAGAGTCACTGAAGTAGGCAGGAGAATGGCTCTAGGGTCCTGGGGTCTGGTCTGCAGGTCTGCTCCTGTGTGCTGGGATAGCTAGGTAGGAGGATATGTGGGCTGCAGTGGGTCCTTTTATCTCACGTTGAGAGGGTGGGGAGGAGGAGTTGGCATTGAGGCCATTGGTAGATTGTCAATTCGATATTTTCCATAAGCAGCATTTTTCCAGATAAGGTGGTACTGCAACCGTGCCACGTAACCCAGTAGTTATATAAAATCTGCAGCTGTGGTCTTCCCATATTATCTTTAGTTAGGCCCCAGGGCCAGTGTTCACGAAGCGTCTCAGAGTAAAAGCACTGATCAAGGATCAAAACTCTTAGTTCAGTAGTCCTTCCTTTGGGAATACAGGCCCATATCTCAGTTACTGGAAGATAGGGGGGACATGTCAAACCAGTCCTTCCTTTGGGAATACAGGCCCATATCGCAGTTACTGGAAGATAGGGGGGACATGTCAAACCAGTCCTTCCTTTGGGAATACAGGCCCATATCTCAGTTACTGGAAGATAGGGGGGACATGTCAAACCAGTCCTTCCTTTGGGAATACAGGCCCATATCTCAGTTACTGGAGGGCAGGGGGGACATGTCAAACCAGTCCTTCCTTTGGGAATACAGGCCCATATCTCAGTTACTGGAGGGCAGGGGGACATGTCAAACCAGTCCTTCCTTTGGGAATACAGGCCCATATCTCAGTTACTGGAGGGCAGGGGGACATGTCAAACCAGTCCTTCCTTTGGGAATACAGGCCCATATCTCAGTTACTGGAGGGCAGGGGGACATGTCAAACCAGTCCTTCCTTTGTGAATACAGGTCCATATCCCAGTTACTGGAAGATAGGGGGGACATGTCAAACCAGTCCTTCCTTTGTGAATACAGGCCCATATCTCAGTTACTGGAGGGCAGGGGGACATGTCAAACCAGTCCTTCCTTTGGGAATACAGGCCCATATCGCAGTTACTGGAAGATAGGGGGGACATGTCAAACCAGTCCTTCCTTTGTGAATACAGGTCCATATCTCAGTTACTGGAGGGCAGGGGGACATGTCAAACCAGTCCTTCCTTTGGGAATACAGGTCCATATCTCAGTTACTGGAAGATAGGGGGGACATGTCAAACCAGTCCTTCCTTTGTGAATACAGGCCCATATCGCAGTTACTGGAAGATAGGGGGGACATGTCAAACCAGTCCTTCCTTTGTGAATACAGGTCCATATCTCAGTTACTGGAGGGCAGGGGGACATGTCAAACCAGTCCTTCCTTTGGGAATACAGGTCCATATCTCAGTTACTGGAAGATAGGGGGGACATGTCAAACCAGTCCTTCCTTTGTGAATACAGGTCCATATCTCAGTTACTGGAAGATAGGGGGGACATGTCAAACCAGTCCTTCCTTTGTGAATACAGGTCCATATCGCAGTTACTGGAGTTCAGAAATAAATCCTGTTATTGACCCTCTTGCGCCTGACTCCTTCAAAACCACCTCATCACATTTGCTTAATGTAAGGAATTTGAAAATATTTATATTTTTACTTCTACTTTTGATACTTAATTATATTTTAGCAATTACGTGTACTTTTGATACTTAAGTATATTTAAAACCAAATACTTTTAGACTTTTACTCAAGTAGTATTTTACAGGGTGACTTTCACTTTTACTTGAGTAACTTTCTATTAAGGTCTCTATACTTTTACTCAAGTATGACAATTGGGTACTTTTTCCACCACTGACTACTTGTCATTCTAACCAGGGCTGGAGAATAAAACACAAGTTGAATCAGATAAAGGACCAACAAGGAGATTTCAATGAAAGGTTTTTCTTTATTTATGTAAACCAAGGCATCTTTGAACTAAAGACTCAGAGGTTCAGAGGCCGGGACGCGTGGCGCAGACAAAAGCATACTTGTTGGAGCAGAATATGTCGTTCCACAGCTTGTCCTTCATGTTGTTAGTGTGAACACAGTTCTCCCTTCCTTCTTCATCATTGGGCTCATTTGGAGACCAGAACGTGTCGACCAACATGGAGCCGTCCGACCACATCCATCTCCCTTCCTTGTGGAAGTCACTCAGCCCGATCCAGGTATTGCGCTCAGCAGGGTCCAAGTCATGGATCAGGTTTTTCACGAAGCCGAATTCCCCTTTGCTGTTCACAGAGGCCAGGTTGGCTCCCTGGGTCACGCAGTAGGACTCTGCATCGGCCCAGTCCAGCTGAGAGGCGAAGTACTTGAAGCAGCGGTTGTTGAACCCTATTTTTGACAACTTTTACTTTTAACTTCACTATATTCCTAAAGGAAATAATGTACTTTTTACTCCATACATTTTCCCTGACAACCCAAAGTACTCGTTACATTTTGAATGCTTAGCAGGACAGGAAATTGTGAAATTCATGCACTTATCACGAGACCATCCCTGGTCATCCCTACTGCCTCTGATCTGGCGGACTCACTAAACACAAATGCATCTTTTGTAAATAATGTCTGAGTGTTGGAGTGTGTCCCTGGCTCTATTAATGAAAAAAAAAACAGGCTGCCTCCCCTCCTGGTTCGAGGCAGGCTTCGGCGTTCGTCGTCACCCGGCCTTCTAGCCACTGCCGCTCCTCATCTCATCATTCCATTTGTTTTGTCTTGTTTATTACACACACCTGGTTCATATCCCCTCATCAGTACCTGTATAAGTGTTCCCTCTGCCCCCTGGTCTTTGTGTGTGATTGTTTATTGTGGAGGAGAGAGAAGCTCGGTGGAGCTCCGTGTATTTTGTATCGCTGGGAATATTCCCCGTGTGTCTTGTATTTTCCAGTGTGCCTGTTTTGTGCACTGGAGTGTTTTTACATATTACTGCGTAACTCTGTGGTTCAGAAATAAATCCTGTTATTGACCCTCTTGCGCCTGACTCCTTCAAAACCACCTCATCACATTTGCTTAATGTAAGGAATTTGAAAATATTTATATTTTTACTTCTACTTTTGATACTTCATTATATTTTAGCAATTACGTGTACTTTTGATACTTAAGTATATTTAAAACCAAATACTTTTAGACTTTTACTCAAGTAGTATTTTACAGGGTGACTTTCACTTTTACTTGAGTAACTTTCTATTAAGGTCTCTATACTTTTACTCAAGTATGACAATTGGCTACTTTTTCCACCCCTGACTACTTGTCATTCTAACCAGGGCTGGAGAATAAAACACAAGTTGAATCAGATAAAGGACCAACAAGGAGATTTCAATGAAAGGTTTTTCTTTATTTATGTAAACCAAGGCATCTTTGAACTAAAGACTCAGAGGTTCAGAGGCCGGGACGTGTGGCGCAGACAAAAGCATACTTGTTGGAGCAGAATTCGTCGTTCCACAGCTTCTCCTTTAACTTATTAGTGTGGACACAGTTCTCCCTTCCATCTCCATTATTGGGCTCCTTTGGAGACCAGAACGTGTAGACCACCTTGGAGCCGTCCGACCACATCCATCTCCCTTCCTCGTGGAGGTCACTCAGCCCGATCCAGGTATGGCTCTCAGCAGGGTCGAAGCCATGGATCAGGTTTTTCACGAAGTCGAATTCCCCTTTGCTGTTCACAGAGACCAGGTTGGCTCGCTGGGTCACGCAGTAGGACTCTGCATCGGCCCAGTCCAGCGGAGAGGCGAAGTACTTGAAGCAGCGGTTGTTGAAACTGGACCAGCCCGGGGGACAGGCGGTGTGCTGGGGCTCTGAGAGCTCCCCCTCCTGGTCAGGCACGGGAGTGCAGTGTAGAGCACCAACAGCCAGGCTGAGTAGGCAGAGGAAGCGGAGGGCAACAGGCATGGTGAAGAGGTTTCTGTTCTGGTGAAGAGTCACTGAAGTAGGCAGGAGAATGGCTCTAGGGTCCTGGGGTCTGGTCTGCAGGTCTGCTCCTGTGTGCTGGGATAGCTAGGTAGGAGGATATGTGGGCTGCAGTGGGTCCTTTTATCTCACGTTGAGAGGGTGGGGAGGAGGAGTTGGCATTGAGGCCATTGGGTAGATTGTCAATTCGATATTTTCCATAAGCAGCATTTTTCCAGATAAGGTGGTACTGCGACCGTGCCACGTAACCCAGTAGTTATATAAAATCTGCAGCTGTGGTCTTCCCATATTATCTTTAGTTAGGCCCCAGGGCCAGTGTTCACGAAGCGTCTCAGAGTAAAAGCACTGATCAAGGATCAAAACTCTTAGTTCAGTAGTCCTTCCTTTGGGAATACAGGCCCATATCGCAGTTACTGGAAGATAGGGGGGACATGTCAAACCAGTCCTTCCTTTGGGAATACAGGTCCATATCTCAGTTACTGGAAGATAGGGGGGACATGTCAAACCAGTCCTTCCTTTGGGAATACAGGCCCATATCTCAGTTACTGGAAGATAGGGGGGACATGTCAAACCAGTCCTTCCTTTGGGAATACAGGCCCATATCTCAGTTACTGGAGGGCAGGGGGACATGTCAAACCAGTCCTTCCTTTGGGAATACAGGCCCATATCTCAGTTACTGGAGGGCAGGGGGACATGTCAAACCAGTCCTTCCTTTGGGAATACAGGCCCATATCTCAGTTACTGGAAGATAGGGGGGACATGTCAAACCAGTCCTTCCTTTGGGAATACAGGCCCATATCTCAGTTACTGGAAGATAGGGGGGGACATGTCAAACCAGTCCTTCTTTTGTGAATACAGGGCCCATATCTCAGTTACTGGAAGATAGGGGGGACATGTCAAACCAGTCCCTTCCTTTGGGAAGTACAGGCCCATATCCAGTTACTGGAAGAAGGGGGGACAATGTCAAACCAGTCCTTCCTTTGGGAATACAGGCCCCATATCGCATTACTTGCCCCCCCTGGAGGGCCATGGGGACATGTCAAACCAGTCCTTCCTTTGGGAATACAGGCCCATATCGCAGTTACTGGAGGGCAAGGGGGGACATGTCCAAACCATTCCCTTCCTTTGGGAATACAGGCCCCAATCTCCGTTACTGGAGGGCAGGGGGACATGTCCAAACCAGTCCCTTCCTTTGGGAATAGAGGCCCATATCTCAGATTACCTGGAGGGCCAGGGGGACATGTCAAACCAGTCCCTTCGGGACATGTAAACCACCTTCCTTTGGGAAAGGTTCCTATGGAGTAGGGGGGAAAACCCTTTCCTTTGGTACCCTCCCCCCCTTCTGGGGAGGGGGGAATAAAATTTTTTAAAACACCCTATCTATTATGGAAATAGGGGGACTTTAACCCTTTTTTGGGAAAAAAACCCTATTATTAGGAAGTAGGGGGGGTTCAAAAATCTTCCCTTTAAACCCCTTTTCCCTATGGGGGGGGGGATTCCAAACGCCCTTTCCTTTAAACGGTATACCGTTGGAAAAAAGGGGGGGAAAAACCCCCCCCTTTTTTTTTAAAACCCCCCTTTAAAAAAAAGGGGGGGGGGGGAAAAAATCTTTTTGGGAAACGGTCCTTTTCCCAAAAAAAAGGGGGGGGGGGGGTTAAAAGTTTTTTGTGAAAAAAAGGGCCATATCCCATTATGGGGAGGGGGGAACAAACCAGCCCCTTGGTCGGCCCCTATCCCTTTCTGGGGGAGGGGGGATCAAAAAGCCTTCCTTTTTAAGGCCCCCCAAAGGGGGGGGGGAAAAAAAAATTTCCCCCTTTGGGTCCCGGCCCCTTTCCCGGGGGGGGGGGTGTCCCAGTCCCTTTGGGAAAAGGCCCCTTTCCCCTTTTGGGGGGCAGGGGGTTAAACCATTTCCCGGGGAAAACCCCCTTTTTACTCACATTTCACCAAAAAAAATCCTTTTTTGGGGAAACAGGCCCAACCGGATGGACAGGGGGGTTTAAAAAGCCTTTCCTTTTTTAAAACAGGCCCTATGCTTATATTTGAAATAAAACCTGTTATTTTTTTTTGGCCTATTTAAAAAAACCCCTCCCTTTGGCTTTTTTTTTTAAATTTTTTTTACTTTTTTTTTATTTTTGAATTTAGTTCTTTCTTTTTAAAACCAAACTTTGGTTTTCCAATTATTTTTAAGGGGGGTTTCCTTTTTTTGGCTTTCTTTGGTTTTTTTTTTTAATAAAGACCTTGGGCTTTTTCCCCTGATCTTGTATCCCCGGGGTGGGTAAAACCCAATTGTCGGGCAAAAGGAGTTTCAATAAAGGTTTTTCTTTTTTATTTAAAACCGGATTTTGCTGCCCCGATTCAACCACCTTTTCAAAAAAGAATTTGGGGAAAAAATTTTCCCTTTCTTTTTTATTAAACGTTTCCCCTTTTTCTTATTTTTCTCTTTTTGGGGAAAAAACTTCCCCCAAAAGGATAAAACCCCCCCCTTCCCTTTTGGGGGGTTTATAGCCCTTTTTTTTTTTTTCCCAATTGGGTCTTTTTGGAATTTCCCCTTTGGTTTAAAACCAGGGTTTTTGGCACAATAGGATTCTTTTAGTACAGGCAAACGAAAGACAAAGGGGGGGGAGCCCCGGAAGGGGGGGTTTTTTGGGGGTCAACCCCCCCCGGGGGCAGTCTTAACCACCAAAGGGCGGGGGAAACGGGAAAGGGGGAAAAAACCGGGAAATTTTTTTTCTGGGGAGGGGTCAGGAATCAGGGAACCCCAGGGGCCGGGGGGCGCAGGTTTCCGTTTTTTGCTAGGGGAGGGTTTGGGGCGGGGGCCCCTTTTTTCCGTTAGGGGGGGGGGATTCTTGAGGCATTGGGGATTTCAACAAAAAGGTTTTTCCCGTTTTGGGGGGGGGGGGTGCGGGGCCCCAAACCAAAATTTTTTAAAAAAACGCCGGGGGTGGGGGTTTCCCCTTTCTTTAGTGGCCCCCCCATGTTCAGGGCTGGTTAAAACTGTCGGAAAAAACTTAGTTAGAATTTTTTTGGGAAGGCCCTTTATTTCTAGGGAGGGGGGAGGGAAAAAGCCCCCCGGGGTAAGGGCCCCCATTAGTTGGGAAAAAGGGGGCGTAAAAGGTTTCCCCAAAAAAGGCCAAATTTTTTTCAAAAATAGGGGGCTGAAAACCACCTTCCGAAACAGGGTTTTTATTAAAAGAAAGGGGGGCTGTAAACCCCCCTTTAATAAGGCTTCCTTATGGAGGGCGGGGGGGGAGCCCCAACCGTCCCCTTTTTGAAACAGGCCCCCAACTATTAAAGGGGGGGGGAGGGGGAAGCAAAAGGGGGGGCCCCTTTTTTTTTGGAGGGAAGGGGGGGGGGGATTCAAAACCAGTCCTTTGGGGAATACAGGCCATTAGTTCCCGGACGGGGGGGGAAAAACCCGGTTTTGGGGAAAAGGGAAAAATTTTGGGGGGGGGGGGAAAAAAGTATTCCTTTTGGGGAAAAAGGGCCCTTGCTTTGGGGGGGGAAGGGGCATTTAAAAATCCCCTTTGGGAATAAGGAATTGTTAGGAAAAGGGGGGACGCAAAAAGCCTTCCTTGGGAAAAAGGGGCCAACTAAATTAGGGTAGGGGGGGGTGTCAAACCCGTCCTTCTTTGGGAAAAGGCCCTTTTACTAAATAGGGGGCTGAAACCCTCCCGGGGAAAGGCCAACGAGTTACTGGGATAGGGGGGGGGGCAACCCCGCCCCTTTGGGAATACAGGCCCATATCTCAGTTACTGGAGGGCAGGGGGACATGTCAAACCAGTCCTTCCTTTGGGAATACAGGCCCATATCTCAGTTACTGGAGGGCAGGGGGACATGTCAAACCAGTGACCAGATAAAGTACTGCACCAGTGAGAGCATGCTGTCGGGCAGTATCCCCGCCTGGGACGGCAACTACACCGTCCGAAACTTCAGGGCTCTCCAGAGGGTGGTGCAGTCAGCCCAACGCATCACCAGGGGCACACTGCCTGCTCTCCAGCACATCTACAGCACCCGGTGTCACAGGAAGGCCAAGTAGATCATCAAGGACCTCAGCCACCCGAGCCACGGCCTGTTCACCCTGCTACCATCTAGAAGGAGGAGACAGGACAGTGCATTAAAGCTGGGACCGAGAGACTGAGAAACAGCTTCTACCTCCAGGCCATCAGACTGTTAAATAGTCACCACTAGCCGGCCTCCGCCCAGTACCCTGACCTGAACCTTAGTCACTGTTACTAGCCGGCTACCGGCCGGTACTCTACCCTGCACCTTAGAGACTGCTGCCCCATGTACATAGAAATAATAGAACACTGGTCACTTTAATAATGTTTACATACTGTTTTACCCACTTTATATGTATATACTGTTTTCTAGTCCAGGCTCATCCTATATAACTACTGCTGAACACACCTTTTCTATCATATACTGTCTACACTGTCTATACACACCATGTGATTAGATGTATGAGTACACGACCAATAACAGGTGATTATATTAGATCTATGGGTGAAAACACTGTTACAGGATACAGTCTGCTGTAAAGTCTGCATCAAACAGTGGAGACATTAAAACACAGTCGGAGTCCAGAATGGAACCTATCCCCTATGTAGTGCACTACTTTTGACCAGGGCAAGTAGGGTCCAAGTAGTGCACTTTACAGGGAATAGGGTGCCATTTGGTATGTAATCATAATTAGCTGGATGTGTTCCAGACACAAACAGAAGACTTAATTAGCTGGATGTGTTCTAGACACAAACAGAAGACTTAATTAGCTGGATGTGTTCCAGACACAAACAGAAGACTTAATTAGCTGGATGTGTTCCAGACACAAACAGAAGACTTAATTAGCTGGATGTGTTCTAGACACAAACAGAATACTTAATTAGCTGGATGTTTTCCAGACACAAACAGAAGACTTAATTAGCTGGATGTGTTCTAGACACAAACAGAATACTTAATTAGCTGGATGTGTTCCAGACACAAACAGAAGACTTAATTAGCTGGATGTGTTCCAGACACAAACAGAATACTTAATTAGCTGGATGTGTTCCAGACACAAACAGAATACTTAATTAGCTGGA